ATGCAACCTGATGGTCATCCTTATACCCACCACCACTGAGAGATTTTTGTCACTTTGCTGCAGTTCGGCCACGGGTTTAAGGCCACGACGACCTGGGTAGCCTTGAGGAAGTCCGAAAATACGCTGTCCCGGAGCCCCTAACGGTCCTAGGGCCGCAACGCCGTTGTAGCTCCTCCGGGGTCAGTCTAACAATTGAAGGGTTAGGTGACTATGCCAAGAGTGGACAACTACCTTAGGTACCTAGCCAAATGAAACAAACTTCACTTTATCATCTACTAACAGCGATAAACCACGTTTTCTTTAGCTTGGTGGGTTTCAAACAGGTGCGAGTTGTTGACTTTAGAAACCGGAGGTAAAGTGTTGGTTTGCCTCAGCAATACCACGTAGGCTCTATAGGTTGAAGTACGATCATGATACTTCGCTGAGTACCAGAAGCGACAAGGAAGATACTTGAACTGAGATTCGGGTACATATAGTAACATTATTTACCCTATATTTACCTACCTACGAACTCTTGTTTAAACCTTGCTTGCCCGTTGAAGTGAATTAAGACCAAGTACCTTGGTAGATAAGTCATGCCGGATAATCCTTTGGTGTGGGAACAAGTATGACATGAGAAGAAAGACTGAGCCCTGAAAGACTGAGCCATAAAAGGCTGAACTTACGATCCTTCACCACGACGTTGTCCTAACCTTGGAGAATTTACTGGTGCTGGATATATAGCTATCCAAGGGTGCCTATTGATATTATGCCGCCTAATTATAAAGTGATATAATTACTAGTCGTGAATTGGCCTTCTTGGATCCCCGAGTTTCGATTAGTAGAGATGTTCAGCATATGAAGAAAATGGAAAATGCACTGATGTATCCTGATCATGGGCTATACGCTCTTGGTTAGAGGAACATGAAATATTTTTGCTTACTTCCACCGAGAGGTATCGTATATGGTCGTAACCTCCTGCCTTAAAGGGAGTATGTAGCCGGTGATCAGAAGCCAGCTATCTTAGGTATCAAAGGCCACAAACTAACTCGCTTCTCAGGGGCCAAGGAACTCCGTCACTGGCAGGGATAGTTTTGTCGAGGATATGGACCAAGCTAGTAGTCTATTATAGGAGCCTATTAGACCGAATTAATTAAAATAAGTTAATACTTTGGCATTAATTCTTCTCTCGTCTAGCTCAGCTCGATTCTGGTACCGTCTCCTGACTCTTCATTCCTGCATGCAGCTGCCCATATAGACCCAATATAGGGCAGTCGTCATGCACATTACCATGTCATATGTGTTGGATATGTGGTGACTGCGGGACCCCGTACGGATCGGGAGGTTGTGCGGCGCTCGTGGGATACCTTGGTCTAGAGTATGCAGTATTCAATATGCTCTAGACAGGTCCGAATACAGTATACTATCTACCGGCAGGATGGATGTACGTCTGTGCTTCATGGGTAGGCTGAAAAAGTTGTGTAACAGGCAAGGTTACTTTCTTGGGGCTGGCTAGCTGACTTCTCTGGGTGTTCTGGACGGGAAGGTAGGTTACACGGCGCCGGGAAACACGTTGCTGGTGTTAGACAGAGTTACATTATGTTGGTCATTTGGTGCTGGGATGACTCGCATGATGGGGACCTGGGGGGATACGATGCATGGTGTGTTACAACCGTAAGGTGGATGATTGTTGAGCGATAGTACTTTGTGACAATAGATCGAGAGCATCGGACAAAAACGGATTCTTATGAAGTCGAATATAGCAGCTTCAGCTCAGTCTATCGGGTATGCGTCAGATCAGTAACTGTCTGGCACTTGTGCAGGTTCGGAAGCGCCGTCTGCGACCGATGGGCTTAGATAGATGAGGCAATAGAAGGTTTAAAATACTCTTTAATCATTTCGTTCTGTCGAGGATATAGGAATAGATGCAACAAGCACGGGTAACCAGCTGAAGGTCACATTGGATCCTTCCTAGTAGACGATAGTCAACCATCGGCTTACCCATTCTGGCCATTTCAGCTCTATACAGATATCAATCTGTAAGGTGGCGCGGCCGTAAAAAAAACACAGAAGCGAGAAGGACACCCGTCATGAATAATCGAATCGCAAATCGGGTACGAGGGCAATTTTTAATCAGCGTTATTCCTAAAGCAAAACAACATCCGCAAAAGCGCGTGAGACGTGAGGCACATTATCTCTTTCCAGTCCACCAGTAAACGCCACCAACTTAACCGCGAGCCGAGTCAGATCATGAACTCGGGCTTGGTATCAACCATGACATAAGATAACGCGGGAACGAATGCAACCGACACAACATATAACAGATTAACAGATCATCATAGGCTCTCCTTGCCCGGGTATAGCCGGAGCCCCCTCACTTCGCTCCTCTTCCATCATGTCGATAAGGTCATCCAAGTTGGAATCCAAGTTCTCTGCAGCCTCCTGATCCAGACACTCCTTGAGTAGTCGTCGGTACTTGTCAATCTTCTCGCCGGTGCCGGACACCCCTAAAGCATCGACGTACTCTTTCTCTGCGCGTCGCTGCTCTGCAACGAGCTCCCTTAGCTCCTGGGCAAGTTTAACTCGCTCTTCATACGAATTGTCACCGGTGTCACCATTCATCATCGATATGGCTTGTTCAACGGAAGAATGTACATAATATCGGCTCTGGCTTGCCAGTAACGATGTGACTTGTTGCTGTAGGATAGTAGCTTCGCCGACGACCTTTGACGCTGCCTCGGGAGATTCCAACTGACTGTCTAGTTCGGCAATTTGCGCTCTGACGACAGTAAGCTCGTTTTGTGTATTTGCGAGGATACGACGAGCCTCCATTTCGGCGTCGTTCTTTTCCTTCCATTCCTCATCGTAACTATGGGCGAGATCCTGGAACTTCTCCAAGACAAGCGGTGTTATCTTATTCTGGACTGTATTTGCTGCTTCCGAGTTATAAGTGACAGCTAGCTTAGAAACGGATTCTGTGATGGCGTCGCGGAAGGAGACGTGTCGTTGAGAGTCAGGTGCAAAGGGAGACGAGGATCGCTGAGGCACGCGCTCCTTTGGATTCTTCGTAGCATTTAATTCCTTGATCAGATCCTCTGCGCGGATTCCTTCTGCGTTGGGAATGTCCGTGGAGGCGCCCCGCCCAAGAAGGGCTCGTATACATTTACGAGCGTTCGTCTTTGCCGCCAAGTGTAGAGCGGTATTACCGCCATGATCTTGAGTGTCGATAAGGTGCTGGACGAAGTTGGGGTCATGAGTTTCCTGGAGTTTGTTTAGAATATTATCGAGATAGTAACGGCAGCACGAAGTACTCGTGATTCGACCACTTTTCATAATGGCCGCGTGATGAATCACCGTACAACCCGAATCGTCGCGCGCGTCGACGGTATCCCACAGTTCCTTCATAACCTGAGGGAAAGTTTGCTTCTCGTAACAATTGGTAAAGTTTACGGATCGCATGAACGGAGTCTCGCCCTTGCAGTTTTGAACTCCCAGTGTAGCTCCGAATCGCTTCAGCTGCTTGATGACATCTACATCGCCCATAGCGCTAGCCCAGTGGAGGGCAGTATGCTTCTCTGTATCGATCGGCCAGTCGGGTTGAAAATTAGGAGGAGGTTCGGGACGGAAATTAGGTGCCTCGTTACGAGATAGGAGGAAGTAATCCAGTAGCTCGTCACCATAGACCGAATGTTGTTGCTCAGTGAGGTCTTGTATACTATCCTCTCGTTTTCTCTTCCGGTGTCCGGTCGGATAATGTGATAAGTCGTGGCGATCGTCTTCTGCTATGTATGAAACTGAAGCGACGGTGACGTTGTCCGGTGTATCATCCTCGTTTAGCTGCTGGCTAGCAGTCTCAATTTCTTGAGGCGGCGGGGCACCTATGGCATATTAGTAGTTGTTCGGCGATAAAATAGTTGAAGCATCATACCCCATTTTGGCACTGCCGGCTTTCTAGGAGCCTTTGGCTTGCTCGCATGCCGAGGCGCTGGAGGTGGGCTCTGATTTCCGGGAACGAACTCGAAGATGGGTCGAAGGCGCTCAAAGATGTTGTTTCGTTGTGCAAGTTGTTCTCCAGCTTCTAAAGGAATCCACGTGCCCTGATATTTTCCATATCCACCCTGGATCTTCTCGTGGACGTCTTTTTGTACCTCACGCTCGAGGATTCTCGTACGGGCGGGCTTGTCGAACCCTGCTGCTTTGAGGATGTGTGTCGCGTTGACCCAGTCGTCTTGCCGTCTGCGCATTACATGCTCCTTATTATCACCACCAAACTGGAACTCGTATACGGGCACCTGTTATCAGAGTTGTAAGTAAGATGCTCGAACTCGGAAAACTGTAGTCATATAAAAAGGCATATTTTATTATGTTGTGGATTAGCAATGCGATTCAAGAGAAAGCTACTTACACCACTATATGTGGCACTGTAAATACCAGCAACAGCACCAGTGCCAGCGCCAGCGACGGCGACAGCACTAGGAGCGTCTTTTACCATGCTTACTGCTTGGACCCAATTAGGGCCGAAAGAAGGGTATGCGTGAAGTAGTGATAGCGATAGCGATAGAAAGGGATATGAAGAATATGATACGACAATGGTATGGAGGTGAATATAAAATTACCAGTGCGCAAGTAAATTAGGAAGACAAAGGACACAATTTACAATAATACGTTAATATTATGCCAATGTGGAAGATTGAGGGGAGATACACTGCGCAGTCATGAGAGAGGTAGTTTGGGTAGTTGGATCTGCGGAGGTGATTGGCAGCCGGGGTTAGGCTGATGGTGGGTGATGATTTTGTGAAAGTTGCTGCGACTTTTGGACGCGGAGACGCGAAATCGAGTAAAAGAGCATGGGGGGGACGGGGGGACGACGCGGTACGGATGTACCCTACACGCGTAAATTGGATAGAAGGTCACCTGACAGTTCAAATGGGTACAGTAAATTGTTATGTAAGCGGTCTATATTTTAAGTTAGGTATGAAGTACCTCGGTATTTAACTATCCATTTCTGTGAAACTTTGTCCGGAATGTCGAACTTCATCTCAATTAATGTTGGTCCTAAAAGAAAATTATATATGCAACTCCTATCAAGTGGCGTTGCTATTCTTGATTGGAATGGTTGCTTCTATTTCTTCAAGTAAATATGGATTGCTTTTTCAATCTTCAAAACGTCCACTCATTCGTCCATTATTACCGGTATATTGGTATCGAATGTCAATCATGCTCCCTTCACTTGTTAATCACTTGCCATTGTTTCGTATAAAGCACATTGTTCAAACAGTGTTGACTTTTAATTTGGTATTTCGAGTTGGTTCCCATCCAACCTGTCTTTTCCCTTGTTCGAATCTTTTCCAAATTCCTAGTGTGATATCTAGATATAGAGTCGAGACTAGGTAATTATTTACAGGTATCCCTATCTATCTGCTAGAATTAGCTATATGCGTACCGTTTCTATTCTAGTGTTCCTACCGAGCTTCTCTGACCTTCTCTTTTCCCTGTCTTCCCTGTAGACCTATAAGTAAGGATATCAATCGTACTGACTAGGAACGACAATGGTCAAGTCTATTTCGCTTCAGACCCTTGCGGGCAACGTTGAATATGCCTGTGGGACTATTGCGGATCTTCTCGTTAACCTAGGAAAGCTGGTCCCTTTGGCCAGGGCTAGCCTGCTACCTGTGGTCGCGGAATGCTTAACTGCAAAGGAGGTTGTTAAAAAGCTGAGAGTACTCTTAGCTCCAGGAGGAACCATGGACCCTTATACGGCATATAGAAGTTATAACGGGCAAGTCGAGGACCTCGAGCCCTGTTTCGAAGTCGTTCTTCACGCTATATCGGAAATACTCGTCGACGTTGATTACGAAACTACACGTTTACGTCGCTATCATACTTGGGGGGATCCTCTTGCATCCTCGAAAGTGGTCCCGGTTATACAAGACTTCTTTATAGATGCTAGGTTTTGCCTGCGAAGAAGCCGGTCATCTCTGTGTCTCATAATCGATTGTCTTCAGAGGTAATAGAACCAAGCTCTCAAGTTTTGGCTATCGTAGAAGAGTTGATTAATATTATACAGGGGAAATTTGTCAGGGGCAACTATTCAACTCATAGACCAAACATTTCTGACGCACCCCACGTTCGCGAAAGCAGCGGAGTCTTCAAGGTTACAGCCTCTGGTAGCGATTGAGCTACATAAGATATCGAGACAACTAGATGTACGGTCGCTTCTGACTAAGTATCGACCCAAGAGCCTACGTTCCCGCGAGAATTATTACAGCCTCACTCGCATGCTACATCATGCAATCACCGAATGCGACCATAGTGCAGTACATAGATGCCTTTTAGCGAACACAACCCCAGATACGCCTCTAGAAGAATCAGGGGTTGTACCAATTCACCGAGCTCTGAACCAAATTGAAGCGTCGCTTGTTTCGGAAAATAAGACAGCCACAAGGGCGTCGAATTCAATCGTGATGGCCTTACTTATCGCGGGTGCTAGTCTCAAAGTGCGAGACGAAAATGGTCGGACTCCCCTCATACGAGCTGCTATGAACGAAATGCCCGACTCTATAATATCCCTGATGTTGGAATTCGGAGCTTCTGTCCAGACTAAAGATAGACAAAGGAACACGGCTCTTCACTATGCGGCGGTGAAGGCTCCTTCGGAAGAAATGGGTAATATTGATACTATCAGGGTCTTGCTAGCCTATGGCGCCGACCAGAGCCTTAGGAACAAGAGGGGACGTACCCCTTTGCATGAAGCCGTCTTGTTTGAGTGCTTCGACCGCGCTCAGGAGCTCTTGGATTACGGAGCCGACTTAGAAATAACGGATAATAATGGGTGGACTCCCTTACTTTGTGCAGTCACCAAAGGGAATTCGGCATTGACAAAGCTTTTATGCGATCGGGGCGCTATTGTTGACAAGAAAGATAAGAATGGACACACGGCCTTTCACTACGCCATCTCCCAAGGATCTGAGGAAGTCTCCAAGGTTTTGCTAGATGCTGGGGTAGATGTGAACCTCATCTCCAAAGGTGAAACTCCCCTCTGTCGAGCAACGTCCAAGTCAAACCTGTCACTTGTTAAGCTCCTTCTAGCATACGGTGCCGACGTTAATTTGTCATCACCTGGCTACTACGGTGCTCTGCCAGTACACGTTGCTGCCATGGGGAGAGATGTGGCTATTTCTGAAGCTCTCCTGGGGGCGGGATCCCCAATTAATGCCTTGGACGACGAGTGCCGCACGCCGTTAAGGTGGGCAATGGACGGCGGAAAGAATGAGTTGGTACATTTTCTGATGAGTAAGGGGGCAGCGAAGTGACTTCTCTTCTATAACGTTATAAATGACACACAAGTTGTAGACCTAGACATTTTTGTGTCTAGCTGCAAGGCTTCTTTTTTTGGAGGCTTAATCTAATATTATCTGGGTACGCACCGGACCTTATGATTCGGGTCGCACTTGATGATAATGATAAGCCAATCACGAGAGTCAGATGATCCCGATTGGGAATATCTAGTTTGGACGAACTATGACGTAAATTATTTACCATTCGGCTTGCTAGTACAAACTACCCAAGTATTCGGGCATAAGACAACTATCTCCGTGATAATACGAATGACCTATGTGTTATGTCGTGGCTGGACGAGCCGATGATATGTATTGTGCTAATATCAGGGGGGCTTTTATAGCGATCTAGCAGCAGTATGGATATATATAATTCTTATGCTTACCTGCCATATAGGTAGGTAGGTACCTAGGTAGGTATTACTAGAGTCATATATCTTATATTGGTAAACTTTACCTTAGCTAATGGCAGCTACTGCTACCCCGCTCGTTCTTCGACGCAAGCGAAAGCACGTCAACATGCTAGATCTATTATTTTTTTCTTATCCCGTTATTGACTTCCCCGCTCTTTATCTCCTTACTCCGAATCGGCACTCACTCCCAGGTCCAGCACCGTATGAGAACACGCTCCGTACAAAGATAGACTGCTTTTCTCCCGGGGTTATTATATAAAGATTGGCATAGACCGAACAATTCGATATTATAACAGGTTGCGGATTATTTGTACTGCTTAGACGGTAACAGAAAAAGTTCGATATGCCTTTAATCGCCTCTGCACCACGAGACCGCATCATCCTGGGTCTGATGACCTTTGGACCCGATGAGAAAGCTGGCGCTCGAATTACCGACGTCAACAAGTTCAACAGAGTACTCGATACCTTCCAGTCCCGTGGCTACAATGAAGTTGACACGGCACGGGTCTACGTTGCCGGCCAGCAGGAGGCCTTCACCCGTCAAACAAGGTGGAAGGAGCGCGGTCTAACGCTGGCCACCAAGTTCAAGTATCCTTCTGAGGCCGGCGCCAATCAGGCTGCTAAGGTAGTCGAGAGTTTGGAGACGAGTCTCAAAGAGCTTGGGACTGATTGCGTAGATGTAAGTGTAAAGTCCACTTCCTATTTTAGCTCTACTTATAAGCCTTATAAGTCTTATAAGTTAGTTATCTTGTCGCACGTCTGTTTCTTTAAGATGACACTAAAGGCGTTGTAGATCATCTACCTCCACGCAGCCGATCGTGCAACACCCTTCGCCGAGACACTTGAAGCAGTAGACAAGCTACACAAGGCGGGCAAATTCGTACGATTCGGCATTTCTAACTTTACAGCTGCGGAGGTGGCCGAGGTGGTTCTGACTTGCAAGTACAATAATTGGGTACGGCCGACCATCTACCAGGGCATGTATAACGCTATCACGCGGGGTATTGAGCCGGAGCTGATTCCGGCTTGTCGGCGGTACGGGCTAGACATCGTAGTATACAACCCGATCGCCGGCGGCCTGTTCAGCGGTAAAATCAAGAGCGTAGACATCGACCCAGCCGATTTCAGCCGTTTCAGCACAAAGGCCAGCACGGGTGCCAACTACCGCGAACGATACTTCAAGGAGAGCACGTTCAAGGCTCTGCAGACGATAGAGAAAGCAGTCGAGAAACACGCTGGATTAACGCTGATCGAGGTGGCGCTACGGTGGGTAGTGCACCACAGTCAGCTCAAGATTAAGGGCGGCAACGATGGTATCCTGATCGGAATCAGCTCTCACGACCAGCTCGTGAGCAACTTGGATAACTTGGAGAAAGGTCCGCTTCCAGAGGATGTGGTGGCGGCGCTAGATGAGGCATGGAGGATTGCAAAGGCGGACGCGCCTAACTACTGGCACAAGGACCTCGTGTACACGTACGATACACGAGAGGCGCTGTTCGGAGCCAATGCGAAGTAAGTGCATAAGAGAGAGGCGTGCCAAGTTGATTCTTATCTGCAAATGTAGCTTTAAAGAGGTACACGTAGCATAGTTACCTGAATTCCGAAACTTGATAAGGTAGTGTTACCGCACGACGGCACATGTGATTACGTGCATAGAGTAGCTAATATATTTAAATAATAAGAGGTATATATATAATCCGTATATATATATATTCAACATTGTGTGTTTACATGTGTATATGTGTAGTGTGATCTTTTCTCCGCCGATGACTAACTCCCAAAACCTCAACGAGGACGTTTAGGTACTACATACGGTAAGATTGTAAATATTGAATGTAGCAAGGTAACACGACAGCTTGGCTCAGCCCTGCTGCCGGGATATGTACCTATGTCATGTAAGCTGGTAAGAATACATTACCGATACCCCGGATAACGGCACCTAAGGTACCCGCGCCAATAAGGGCCAAGATTACCGCGACCGATCTTCATAAAAGACAACGACGAGAGCAGCAGGGGATACATGTGTTAGCGTTGCCCCCCTGACCCCTTACTGCCCTTAGCGAACCAACCGCTACTGAATTCCGCTCTTTTGGGTGTCACTTGATGATTTTCCAACTGCAACTACATACATAAACATTTGTCCATTTGATACCTATGCATACGGCATTTTTTACTTTGACGAATCAGAATCCCGACCTTAGTCTCTCTCTTCTGCTGCTCCTGCATAACCTACGTAAGGAATAGGATTACGTGCATTATATTCTTTATTTCTCGCTTACTAGGTACCAAGTAATCTTCTCTTCGTACCGTGCCGTAAGAGGTAACCTTCAATTCTCACCTAATCATCCTTCCGTTCTTTTTATTTATTCTTTTTTTATTCTTTAATGTCTTCGAAACCAAACAACATTCGCTTGTCCAGCATACCGGCTCGCTTAAAACCGACGTCGCAATATTCGAAAGCCGAACCATCACCGCTATTATCCGCTAGTTCCTTCGGGTCCAGCGTTGAAGATTACATCGGAAGTGGCACCGACACCGTAGGAGGTAGAACTCCGGTCTTCGGCAGGCGATTGTCTTTCGTTCAGGAAGACGACGAAGCCTCGGATATCACACATCTTCGTAGCCCTCATAGGTTCGACATAGACTATTCTGAATACTCGGACGACGACGACGGTACCATGCCCGACAGCGCCAAACGATCAGCATTCCTCCGTCCGTCTGACGGTCGATCTGTCACACCGCTTCTAAAGAAATCGGACGACGACGATCGCGGCAGGACACGGTATAACAACTCGCGGCCGACATCACCTCTCCCGATACCCTCTGTTTCTACACCAGCCTCCGACCGACCAACCTTTAGCCGCCGCTCCACCATGAGATCTCGGTCTCCTGATACCCAAGCGCGGATGGCAGTGCGCAAGAAATACACGTACGCGTCCATCTTCCTGATCGTGTCGTTAATTTCCTTCTGCGTGCAGACGGAGCTGGGACGGTACGTGCAGCACGAGCTTGGTTGGGATAAGGCTTACTGCATGTTATATCTTACACACGGGTCGTGGGCGCTGCTTTGGCCGGCCCAACTACTTATCCTGCGGTTGCAGAATTGGAACGTGCCGTGGCCAACCTTCTGGAGGAGGCACGTCTACTTGTTGCGCTCAACGGCGCATATGGTCGCACATCAGGAGCTCGACATCCCCGGGCACGTTGTCCAGCGCAGTCCAATACCCTACATCTTGCGCACCACTGCTTTCGTTACCACTTCTTTAACAGTAGCAGGCCTGAGTTGGTACGTTGCCGTCAGCATGACTACCCCCAGCGACTTAACCGCCATCTATAACTGCTCTGCATTCTTCGCCTACGCTTTCAGCGTACCCCTACTCAAGGAGAAGTTGCGCCTCGACAAGTCGGTTGCGGTGCTGATCGCCATTGTTGGCGTCATGGTTGTCGCGTATGGCGACTCTAAATCTGGCGCGGGAGTTGATAAAGAAGCAGAAACTGAGGCCGGCACGCGATTCCTCGGCAACATGATCATCGGCGCGGGGAGCGTGCTGTACGGGCTCTATGAGGTGTTATATAAGCGGTACGCTTGCCCACCCGAGGGTACGTCGGCAACGCGGGGCATGATCTTCGCCAACGCATTTGGAAGTTGTATCGGGGCCTTCACACTTTTCGTGCTATGGATTCCTTTGCCGATTCTCCATATTCTCGGCTGGGAAACCTTTGAGCTGCCCACTGGCGCAGCGGCATTCTATCTCTTCGTGTCGGTGATCATGAATGCGACATTTGCGGGCAGCTTCCTAGTGCTAATCTCATTAACGAGTCCCGTGCTAAGTAGTGTCGCTGCGCTGCTGACAATTTTCATCGTGGCACTAGCCGACTGGATTATCACGGGAGAGGGCATGAGTCCATCAGCTCTAAGCGGTGGGTGTCTGATTGTGGTAGCATTTATAATGCTAAGCTGGAGCACCTGGCGCGAAATGACAGAAGACGCAGAGCGCAAGGCGGCTGTGGATGTTGTCGGTCCGGTCGACTGGAGTAGTGAGGACAGCGATAAGGATGCTGGCCGGTTGGATTAGGGTGAGAATTCCCAGCTTACGCAGACGGCTGTGCGTTACTTTTGTTCGCAAGTTTATTCTTATTCTTATTTATATTTTAACTAGTCTGTTTTTTATTCTTCTAACATCGTTTCATCCTTTCTCTGGTTTAGGTTCTACTGTATTATGGCATATCCATCGGAATATAGGGGTTACATTGTCCCGGATGGAACCAGCTCATAGGCTGTATCCTGGAGGGGGGAACAATCGGATTAGAGCGACGTTAGACACCAGCACTTTGCATCTTTCCCATTATGCCTATGAGGATCTAGGGATTACCTGGAGCAATTTGGCTATTCTAGACGATGGAAGATGTGGATTTATCGGTATCGTTACCGCGCATATAGAAATATGTATGCTGTTTCGGCGTTTGGGGCGCCTCGGTCTCGGTCTTGATCTCGGTTGGTGTTTTAGGCTGGATAAGGATGAATAGGTCATGGCCGGTTATAGAGGTGGTGGAACAACGCCTGCTTACCTTACCTGGGTAAATATACAAGTCTCGTGCGCACGGTTAATGTATCTATGACATCTATTGCATAGGAACCCGGTGCACTGGCTCGGTTATGCGGATATATAGGCACTTATACTATCGACTCACTGTCATATCATATTCGAGGATGGTATACTTGAAATACGAAAATAAAACACCCTGAGGCTTTTCAAGTCGGAGTTTTTTAAAGCACTATCTTCTTCGATTTTGTACAAGTATAATAGATCCTTCCTTGTAACCTCGTGTCTACCGGCGATCCTGTATCGTTCTAACCTGTATCTTTGTTGTAGGAGTATAGTACATGTGTACCTATTTAAGTATTTAAAAGGCGGCATTTTTTAGAAGTTCCATGCATAAAGCATGCACCCGTTATAAAGGAGGGACTCCCATTTGTTATCCGAGATCGAGCTATTTCAAGATGTGGCTATTGGTTTCCCCCGTGGACGATGGGCGGCTGATTGTTGTGCATATATAACCATAGGCTGGAGAACGGCAGGCGAGCAACACCATTAAAGGCGAATCGCCTTAGCGATCCCTTACTTGTGCCTCGTCAGCAGACTATACATATACCTCTTATTTGTGTCTATAAAGCCTGATTGTCTCGGCAGATACACAATGTACTTAAGGGTGAAAATCATAGAGATGAAGGAAAATAATTATACTGACAAAATTGGCTCCCCCGAGGAGGTTGGTGGTCCAACATGACCATCAACCTCCCGGTCCGTGTTAGGGTAATTTCCCTCTTCGTCCTCCTTGACAAAAATGCCTGGCCGTTCTACCTTCCAGCCTTTAGCGCCACTGCGCTCGACAAATTGTACCGCCATATCCCAGGCTTCGTGGTCTGCCGCGTCGCCGCTCTCGAAAACCCGTAGCGACGCCCAGTTTCTTGGGTACACCGCGGGGTCGGCGGCGAAGGTAAGCTCGCGCATCAGGGAGCTGTATGCTGTATTGCGCTCCATCCAGAGGTCCGCCGGATCTATGTGCTTCATTTCATCTTCTGCCTCTAAGATCCGGTTTTCAGGCCCGGGGGTCAGCTGCACAAAGAGACGGTCAAGCTTGGGTAGGTTCTGGAGTAGGATCTCAAAGTGAGATGATAAGGGGAATATGGCGATGTAATTGAAGTCAATGATAGTAGGCGGTATAAGCGGGGTGTCGTTAGGGTGTTCCTCGCACCCAAGGAGGGCCCCAAGCATGGACGGTGGTCGACGCAGAAAGAACTCATATGTTCGATAAACCCTAGTAGACGAGCCTTCATTCAGGAGTAGTGAAGTCCAAGGACGAACGGTGAAGAGCGGACACGACGGTGGTTTTCTATAGCGGATCGAACATGAGGTGGTGGAGGGACCTGCCGAAGCCACCTGGGTCGTTGTCGTAGAAGGATGGTGCTGTGACGAAGAGGGATGAATATCTGAGTTAGATAATTCTGTATGCGTACTCGACTTGCCACGTGAATCTCTAGTAGTTCGGGCGAGTGAGAGAATATGATAAGGAATGCTAAACGACCAGGCGTCGTCTAAGAAGAGCATACGGGATAAGAATGAAGCGAGAGTATTGGGAGGAGTAATGATGGTGAACCTTAGAGGGTCGATGACGGAGAATAGCTGGTCCCATAACCATTCCAGATCGACAGAGCGTATCTCAGGAGTGATTTGATTGGCACCGGCATCCCTATCTACGAAGTCGACGATCATAGTGAAAGTCGCGACGCTGCGGTCTAGCCGATTATCTTCTAGGAAGCGTAGAAGTGGTATCGGGTTCAATGTGAAAGCGCTGAGCGAGGATATCTTGGGTCTCCATAAGATATGACGGAATAGGCTAGGGAGCACAAGAGACCGCCAAGTCTTGCAAACGAAGGATACAGTCTTGAGCGATTGCGAATATAAAGACTTGGCATCTAGCATGTCGTCGCTCGGCTGGTCGCGAAGCCGCACTTGCGACGGAGCCGGGTCATCGAGGAACTCGAAGACGTGTAAGAGTATCTCTGGTGGTATACGATCCATCTCGATTAAGAGAAAACTCCGAGTTATACTTCCAAACGGGATAATTATCCTTTTCTTTCCTTCTAATCTTAATAGTTGGACCGTCTCAAACTGCTTTTATAGGAATAGCTAATTGAAAGCTATTAACAACATAACTCTAGCCTCTAATAGATATCATATAAAGACTCTTGGTATTTGTGTTGATGCTGACATGTAAACAAGACGGAGATGGTAAGCTGAAGTCGCGTCGAGGCTGAATAACTCTTCTCATTTGATGATGTCTGAGTTACGAATATAGTCGTCGGGATTCGGGCCAAGTCAAGTCAGTGGGGGGCAGATAAGGGGGAGGGGCTATACTCGAGAGAGCAATTACTATGGATAACTAGGTAGGTACATGGCTATATCTCATAGTTGCATTTTAGGGCATTGGACTAAAAAAGAAAAAGAGTTCAATGACATGTGTGGATTCTGCAGGTAAAGAATTCCCGACCCATAGAAATAACCAATATAGTTCTTAAAATTGTAATACCTAGCTTTAATGCCAACAAAACGTCATATTGCAAGTCCTTAGATTATAAGTGATTAGTGAAGTAGATAAAATAAATATTTTGTGGCTCATAATGACACGAGCTATCACGTTGTATTATTTACATAAAACACGCCGTGCGCTTTAGCTGAGAAGCCTTGACGTTTACCCACCGGCGTAGTATGCTCATGTGTACATAGTACGTACGCGTAAAGTCAGCATTGACAAAGGCGGGGGAGTGCAGGGGTTATACGATTGTTAAAATATCAAATCGTGGAGAAATCGGGGAAATTATGGATATCCAAGGACGGCAATGCGAAAATCGAATCAGAACGCGGTGATGGACCTTCTCGTAGCGCTTTTTTACAATAGACCTGCCGTGGCTTCTTTCTCTATCAGCCGAACATCTTCAGTCCCACTAACCCGGATGCAGTAAATCAAGCCGCAATGTTGCTATTAAGACGCACATTATGTAGATACTTTTTAGCATCAATGGGTCCTTGGCCTTATACCCCTCAGAAAGGACCCCCCTCTTATGTAGTTTTGACTCAGATCCTGTCACGATACCCCTTATTCACTCCGCACTCACCCTCCAGTTGACCTTATGCTAGGGAGGGATTGAATTATCCCCCGCTCGAACTTGGCAATGGGGAAGGCGGTATAGATAAACGGTATGACGTCTAGCTTCTTCCCTGGTTGTTCCTCCTTTCTATTGTTCCTGGTATCCTTGTAAACTCTTCGACGTAGGTAGCAGGTAAAAAAGGAAAGTTACTCTCATCTCCCACCTCCCCTCTACCACACAGAATCTAGTGAGACGTTGAATAACTACTTCGACCTTGGCTATTAACCGATATGCCAGCCAACAAGCAGCGACCGCCGTTCCGTGCAGAGCATCTGGGCTCACTACTCCGCCCGCAAGAGCTCACCGAGAAGCGTCTTAAGCTTGCCGACGTAAAGGCCATCGATGTTGCTAAGGACGGGGAGTTGCACTCCATCGAGGATAATGCCATTGATGAGATTGTCAAACTGCAGCTAGACCTCGGGTTCCATGCTATCAACGATGGCGAGTATCGGCGACATCAATTCTGGGGAACCTTCTTCCCTAACCTTGAGGGATTCGAAGAGATCATGGAACCAGAGTGGGATATGTTCCGGCTGTACGTCCCTGACACCGCCGCGTTTAGTGAGTTTCCCTGTTGTAGCTGAGGATAATATATGTTATAATCATTAGACATGCAAGCTAACCCCTTACATCGTTTAGCTGAGAAGGGCCATAAGCCCGGCGAAACAATTGTTTGCGTTGGCAAAATTAAGCATGTCGGAAGTGCATACTTGTCCGACTGGAACTATCTTAAGAAATTAGTCCCCGCCGACAGAGTGAAGGATTTGAAGATAACGCTCGCCGCCCCCGAATGGTAATCCTTTCTATCTAACATCCGTTGATGCTGCGTATTCACCTTTGTTGGCGTCTCTCCTCGAGACTGTATAAAGCCGATGCTGGTATACCGTTAGGCTAACTATTTGCAGGTATCATCTGAGATACAAGAAGGGCAAAGCGTATCCGAAGGAAGTGTACGCTAACGACGAGGAGTACTTTGCCGATATTGCCAAAGCCTACCAAACTGTAAGTCAATTCCCTAAGTTCCTCGCCTTAACGCGCTCTTATTCTATTATACTATACCTTTGCCTCTTTAATATCTATGACGACTTCGTCACATATTGCATGAGCCGATATTGATCCTGAATACTACAGGAGTTGCAGCTTCTATATGACAACGGTTGCCGAAACGTGACCATTGACGACCCGAATTTGGCTTGTGAGTGAGACCTTCAATGCTTATTATACCGATAAGGAAATATTGACAGGAGCTGGAATTGCAGACTTTTGCGACGAGAAGATGTTGGCTGGCTTCAAGGCGGATGGGGAGGATTCCGATGCTCTCCTCGACTCGTATATCAAATTATACAACGACTGTGTATCGTCTCGCCCGGCTGACATGCACCTGGGCATCCACCTCTGTAGGGGCAACTTCGCATACAGTAAACACTTCTCAGAGGGAGGATACGATCGAATTGCAACGAAGCTCTTTAACAACATCGATGCCGACACATACTTCTTAGAATACGACACGGAGCGAGCAGGTAATTTTGAGCCTTTGAAGGAGCTGCCACCACATAAAAATGTCGTCCTAGGCGTCATCACTAGCAAGTTCCCTGAGCTCGAGGACATTGACGAGACACGCAATAGGGTGTTCCAAGCAGCTGATATCATCGCGAGTGGCGCTGGTCAGACGCGCGAGGAAGCGCTTAAGAGAATTGGCGTCAGTCCGCAATGCGGGTTCGCTAGCCACCACCTTGGCAACGCCGTGACGCGAGACGACATGATTGCAAAGCTAAAGCTAGTGAGAAAGCTCGCTGATACGATCTGGCCGGGTGAGCCATAGAGAGAAATAGTATGTATATTATATTATATATATGGTGATGGTGATGATGCTTGAGCGGAGTCGAAATTATGTATTCAACATGCAGATTTGGAGCGGGAAGCTGAGAACTAGAACAGAACAAACGCTAGAAAATCCCGATATCGGGTTTCTTATAACTCGATAGGCGTGATTACCTAATTGTATACATGCAACGTGCCACGAAGCATGAATGCTGTACGAATTTAGTGAGTCCGACGATAGGTAGAAAATTGTGTGAAACTTGAAGTTGTGGGCTTGTCCTAATTCTACATAGTAGAGGATTATTAACGTAGACGCCTCTATTCGTCAGACTTAATATGTTAACCGGTTAGTCCCCGTCCTTGGCAAATGGGGCTGAGCCGAGCCGGTCTTCAGGGGTAGCAGGGGTTTACCTTGCTGGAGGCAGGTAAAAGGGCCAGCGAATTGTGCGTCGAATGCACCGTAATGCCCACTAAAACTTCATCAAATGGAATTATGATGTTTGTCGGCTTACCGCCTTGAGACCTCCATAGTCGATATTACTGTCACTAATTCTTTTCATCTTTTTGCTTCTACCAAAATACACCTTTCATCCTTTCGCACGCTATCCATCACCATGCCGGAAAAGAAGACAGAAGTACCTCCTGATGAGTCCATTACTTTTAGCTCCGGGGTTCACGATGGACCTCCGGACTTGAGACTTCTCCATTACAATGACGTCTATCACGTCGACCAATCTAGTAGCGAACCGGTAGGAGGTGCCGCTCGGTTCATGTCACTCATAAAACATTATGAGGAGAATGAGAAATTCAAGGAGCAGCCAGAGTTGGTAACACTGTTCTCCGGTGACGCCTTCAATCCGAGTTTAGAGAGTTCCGTTACGAAAGGTATGCCTTACATACGATGAGCTTACGGAGCTTGCGGAGCTTACAGAGCTCGAGTGACTGTGAACGCATATCTCGTATCTCATAATGAACTCTGTTCTTTTGAAACTAATACGCGGATTTTTATGGATTAAGAAGTTTTCTACTTTGAGTTTGGTTGCTATATACTTTGAAGATCATAGGCTGATATATGAAATTCGGCAGGTGATCACATGGTGCCTTTATTGAACAACATAGGGACAAATGCTGCAGCAATAGGAGTATGTATCAAAGCCAATACTTTCTCGTATATCATCAGCTGCTTATATGATGAGTAGAATCACGACCTTGACTTTGGAGTCTCTCAATTCAAGCACCTTTCCTCCAAGTGCAAGTTTCCATGGCTCATCGCGAACGTATTGGATCCCGCGCTGGGAGATTCGGTTCCTATCGGAAATTGCAAAAAGACTCATTTAATCACCTCGTCTAATGGTATCAAGATTGGGTTGATCGGGCTAGGCGAACGCGAATGGTTGGCTACGATTAACAGTCTACCTCCTAACCTCATCTACAAATCCGCCACCCAAACCGCAAAGGAGCTTGTCCCACAATTGCGAGCCGAGGGGGCTGACATCGTCATCGCCATAACGCACATGCGAGAGCCGAATGATAACAAATTAGCTGAGCAGACCGACGGAATCATTGATATTATTCTTGGAGGCCATGACCACTACTATAATCATAGCCTCATAAAGGGAACGCACGTCCTACGTTCAGGAACCGATTTTAAGCAGATGAGCTATATCGAAGCCAGGCGACGGACCGACGACTCAGGTAGATGGGACTTCGATATCGTACGGCGAGACATCACGTCTGCGATCCCGGAGCATCAGCCGACTGTTGAGCTGGTCGAAAAGCTGACTGCAAGTCTCAAGGCGACACTTCAGAAGCCTGTCGGCTACACTGCTGCGCCCCTCGATGCTAGATTCCGGACGGTGAGGTTAAGGGAGAGCAATATCGCTAATTGGGTGTGCGACATTATGCGCCATTACTACTCAGGCGATTGTAGCATCATGGCGTCAGGGACTGTCCGTGGCGACCAAGTCTACCCTCCAGGACCGTTACTACTAAAGGATATTGTACGCAACTCCTAAGACTCACGCCTCATCTAGTTTAATCTGGGTGGTTCGGCAAACAGCTAACACATGCTGCAATAGATGAATTGTTTCCCATTCGAGGATCCTGTCGTGGTAATTAAGGTTACAGGCCAAGCTATTTGGGACGCTTTGGAGAACGGTTTATCACAATACCCGGCTCTCGAGGGTCGTTTCCCGCAGGTCTCTAACATTACTTTCAAATTCGATGGCCACAAACCTACAGGGTCGCGCATAGTGACAGCGACGATCGGCGGGGAGCCGATAGATATGGCCAGGAAGTACGTACTAGTGACCCGAGGCTACATGGCTCGCGGCAAGGATGGCTACGATAGCCTCCTGATAGAGGAGGAAGGGGGCAAAGCCGAGGAGATTGTCTCCGAAGAGAACGGAATATTAATTTCGATGATGCTACGACAATATTTCATGTCGCTCCGTGTGATGGGACAGTGGAAGTATTGGGGAAAGAATAGTATGCTGCCTATATCTATCAACGGCCTCGTCATCTCTGCCCCCCCCCCCCCCCCTGAAAGAGTACCTACTTAGCCTAGAAGGTTGCATAAACTAACACATTTCCTAGTCGGTCGATATTGGGACAATGTCACGAGCAAGGTCAACGCAAACCACACTCATCACCTCCCAGCAGCAACCGCGACTCCAGTTAGTCCAACAGCGAGAACAGACGTCTCCGGTTGGGACAATTGGACACCGGAGAAGATTCGAGAGCGGAAGACGTGTCAGCATCCTGTCGACTCTGAGTCCGACGAAGACAACGATGGCTTGGATAGAGGATACGTCGGCGATATCGAGACGATTGATAAGGAGATGCAGATCATGCGCCGCGTGTTCGCCAAATGGGCGCGGATCGCTAAGGTTGAGAGTCGCGTCGGCGAGGAACTTAGAGAGGGGGAATTTGATGTCGATTGGACTAGAGCGATTGCGCCGCGGGTTGAGGGGCGTATCATCTGCGTCGGGGGCGAGCAGAAATAGGGAGTTAGCAATCCTCTTAGTTTGAAGGGATAGAACGGGATCGTGCAATGACTTGATGGCTATGATTGTAACGACGTTATGATATTCGGACAAAAAGTTAAAATACCGAGTTATAGAAAGGACTCATTTCAACGGCTCGACAAAAACCGCAAGGCTGTGATCTGACTGTTAAACCGGGATTGCGATTTTATTCTCGAATTTCCCCTACGGTGCTACGGCACAGTCTCTTCATAACTCCTATTTTACGGGGTAAGGCAGGAATTTGGAACAACGCGACTATGATTAGGTGCAAGACGGCCGTATATTATAATAAATAGCTGGATACGTTCTCCGCGTTGGCTGTTTCGAACAAATTGATTCGTAACGTTCTTAAGAGCTTTTGACTCAAACGGTGTTTGGTTTAAATATCAAGGCGTAACCAACCTAAGCCTTGGACCTAGTTTATTAAACTACCTGACCAAATTATACTAAGCTTCTGCCTCCTCGTTTACGAACGAGGGGTATTTGCTTTAGGAATACAGTTTCGTGTGGCAATTTAGCCCTCAAAATAACCCTATTTATTGCTCTTTCAGTGCAAAAATGGTGATTGCTAGGGCGATCGGTTGGTATCCTGTGAGGTAGAAAATCACAATCTCTCTAGCAGGGGCTAAGATGAACAGGTATTAAGCATAATCGGGGATAGGAGATTCGTACATGAACTAATCTCAGCATAATTCTGCGTTGCAATAAAGAAGGCTTGGGTGATATTATTGCTTGCACTTGGTATAGGAAGATATTCGATTTTGGTATGATTCAAAATGCTCAGGTTAAATTTATTATAGAGAAGTGATATACAGAGTGTCGCATTTTAACAAGAATGCCCATGCACTCGAGTTGCGTCAATCATATACAAGTATAAGAGTCGTTTCAAATCCAGCCCCTCATCAAACCATCCGTCCATAACATGTACTGCGTTTGAGTGCGCTCTCTTAGATGTGTGTACACCCTAACACCTGACTAGGGAGGGAGCGCCCGCCATTTACAGGCTCTTCTTGGCGAAACCCAGTCTTGGGCTTCCCTCGGAACTATCAAAGACGACGAAGGCCGCCTTCAAGGCAACGTCGCCGAAGATGGAGAAGCCGATACCCTCGTCGGACTGGATACCGCCGAAGCAGGTGGAGTCGTCAACGGGGGCGTAGTTGATGTACTGACCGGGGATGTTGAACTTGGCATCCTCGACACCGAAGACGAAGTCAGGTAGGCTGGCGGAGCAGGGGAATACGTAGCCGCCCTGTTGCTGGTCCAGCTTCGCACCCGACACCTGGCGGTAGTACGCAGTCACGATAGAGTCGGGCAGCAGAGCAAGAGTAGTGCCGGTGTCAGCGATACCTGCGAACGGGCTTGACTTAAAGCTAGTGTTGCCAACGCCATATCCGGAGCTAGTGAAAGACCAGAATCCTTGGCTGTTATCAACTTCTGTGTAGGTAATGTCACCAGTGTACTTGGAGCTGTCAACGACACCAAAATCGTAAGTACCGGCTAATCATGTAGGTTAGCAACTTAATTTCAAAACTCGTATTCCAAACTGTGAGTAAGCTTACCCTCGTGGTACTTAAGATCGGCGGTCCAAGCCGCGGTATCTAGGCTGGATGCAACGTTATCGAAGAAAGTCTTCTGCGGGGTGGGCGTCACTGTGTTGATGCTGCTGAAGGCGAGACCTAGCAGGCCGTCGTTGTTGCTGTCGCTCGTGAACTGGTCGGAGACCGTCTTCGCAGCCTCAACAGCCTGGTTCTTGAATGCAACACCACCGACGGTAACGACGTCAGTGTAGACGACACCGCTTGATGAGCTGCCGTCACCGTATGAGATGTCCCAGCTGGCGCCGCTGATTTTCTTAGCAGTGCTGCTATCGTCTGGGTTGTACGGAGTCTGGCCGTTGATGCTGCTTTGGGGTTGTTGAGTGCTGAATACCCAGAGATCCGACGAGCCGGAATCAAAGTCTAGGTTAAGCACCTGAGGAGGGGTTCCAATCGAGACGGGAGTTAGGTACTGAATATCGTACTGCTCCGGAGTAGCCTTGGCACTTCCGCTATCGCGACGGAAGATCTTGAAGTCGGCCATAATCCTAGACAAACCGTCCGGAAGCTTGACGCCATACTTAAGGTACGCTCTAGCTAACTGCGCCGGGCCATGGGGCTTGAAGCCTGGGTTCTTAACTTGAGGGACAGAGAAAGTCCCAACCTTAGGTGGACGCGCGGGAGACGCCGTCGCAATACCGGCGACCGCAGCCGCAAGGGCGATAGTGCTAGCTGAGCCAACCATATTGAATATATGTCTTAGGGGTGTTTTGATCGGGATAGAATATACAATGCTAAAAAATGGCGTAAAAAAGAGTGAATGGAGATAGCGAAAGACTGAGAGGTATGTATGATATATGTTCGAAAGGGAGAAGCTGTTACTATAGCTAGAAACCTCCTTGCAGCCCGAGGATGGTGAGCAAACAAATATTCCAAACAGGCTGAGCAGAAGGGTATTTATAAAATACCAGAGCTGAGCAGGTTGCGATCGTGAACCAACGGAAAGGGTAGGTAGGTTGGATGGGACAGAGACTAGTTAAGGGGACTGCAGATCTCCCTCTCCCAATCTACGACCGAAGAAACCGGACTCAGAGCTATTCCATGCGAGTGGGTTTTTTTTTGGAACCACAGCTGCCGTTACGGGTAAGAAGCTGTACCGAGTAATACAAAGAGAAGTCAATCACGTCTTTTGGGTCAACATTTAGCTATCGTGATCGACTCAGGTTGTGCGAGGGGGGGCACTGGAGGGGGGAGGCCGGCAGCGCTTCTGGTTTGTGGAACACGACGGCTTGGCAGGTAGATCTCAACCTGCGGACTTGGGACAAACATGTTCTAAGTTTCTCACTGATTGGCCGGCCGTTTTGATATGCTTCATTCATCGCCCACATAACGGCAGGCCGGCTTATTGCCCCTTTCTGGTACATTGTCCAGTTTCTCCAGTTTCCGCGCCGTTTACATGCAATTCTCGTTGGCTTTTCTCCCCCCCAGCAGCAGCCCAGCAGCCCCCTTCTTCACCTGGCGCGGATCGCTGGTACGTATTTTCCTTTCCGGCTACGGCCATCCCCGGCCATGGTCTGTTCGGAACCCACATCTCGGAAGCATGTGAGATATGGATTCGGAAGCCGGGCTGGAGGAGGCGGTGATTTGACAGTTACCAACTGATAAAGAGATGAAAGGGGATCGAGCGCATGGATCACGTTGTCGTCAGTGTCTTACAAACAAGGTGGGCTTTTAAGCTTCTTTGGATCTTAAACCAACCACAGTAGTATGTAGATTAGAGTGCGGGCCACGTTGCTACGCAGATGGGCTTGGCTGACTCGTGTGTGCTCTAGCGCGGCTGGACATGCCGTACAGCATTGAAGATCTGCGTAGTAACGTATCGTTCCCTGTCCTATATGTGCCGGCTTGTAGGGTTGTTTCAGATAGGGGCAAGGCTTGCCTTGGCTTCTCACCACACCCATGCCGCTTGCGGGGTGGGGGTTCTCTTTGTGCGATTGGCTTCGATATTAACTACAACTTGGCGCTTTTTGGCAGGTCGTTACCGTCATTTTATTTCTTACCTGGTGAATCATCAACTGCATTCGACCAACGCCGGCGACCTTCCTGCTAGTCAGAATGAGACCTCAGACAAGGACTAAAGAAAACAAGCCTTTCCCCGGATCTTGGCCACCTTGGCTAGATGCTATCGCCAGGAACACCAGGAACACATGACGTACGAAAGCTTCTTTGGTCGACACGCTATGAAATGTACGTCACGGTAGATGTTCATCGGCTTTTACTGCGTAATATTTTTCTTTACTGTAATTTACGAATGGCTTTAAGCCATCTAGCATGTGCAGATCCCTTGCTAGGCTGACTTATTAGCAGCATTAACATACTAGCGTAAATAACCCGGCGAGAAGAAGTCCAATTTTTTATTTTTTTTTGATCAGGATGGAAGTGCGTTTTCCCGACCGAAAGGTTCAGGGGATGACAGAAGAGAGTGGCACTTCGAGCTGGTGATAGGGCAGAGAACATGCTTAACCAGACCCCTACAATTATCGGGTAAAAGCTATCCAGCTTGGGTTTTGTCCAACCACATATCTCTCTGCGTATTACTGTTTTATTCCCCAGTTTTACAACATATGGACCATCGTCGCATCGTGCGCCTATTGGATCACGCCGAGCTCGTGCAATCAACCGTTCACGCTATTCCCCTCGGGACGAGCTCGAGTTGCTGCAATCGGAATTTATCTCCAGAGATCTACACTGCTTATTGGCAAGGTAGGTAGGTAACTAAAACATTCAATTTATCGTATCGGTAACTTACTTGAGGAGGTAGATACTATTCGGCCGACGGCCGTATTGCACATTCGCCCTTCCCATTGACGCCATGCTATTCATATTATCAACTTATCCAATTAAGGAAGCTCGTCGAGTAAAAGCCTATAACGATCTGTAGCCTCATCGATTCAGTTTCGACGGTCAGCATCATCACAGTAGTTTAACCTGTTCAAGCCGAGGTCGTTATTAAGGCGCAGGATCTGTTGACAAATAACAGGTCAGCGCATGGGAACTGAGTCAGTCAAGCCTAAGGTAAAGACCCTGACTGCAGAATAGCATAGCTATGGTGGACCATTAGTGCAACTGTGCCAAAATCAATAAAATAGGTCGGAATTTTCCAAAAAGGGTAATTAGCAAAGAACGCTAAGTGCACAGTACACTATGCGGGGTATATACAAGGTAGAATCCGGGCTACCCTTTCTACTAAAATCTAAATTCAGCCAATCAGATTAAATTATCAATCCAATGTTCAATTGCTTCATATACCTACATATAAACAACACATTCAAATAACTTTACAATGACAACAATCCAGACGTTACGATTGGTATTGTTTTATAGCCTTAATTAATGCGAAAATAATGGACCAAAGTGCATGTTTATGCGATGTGTATTGAGTATTATATTGCTATTAAAGTATCTGGAGTCTGTTTGGAATGACTTTATCGAGGTGCTTTTAAAGGGTATCACGTGCTTGCCTCTCTAGGTAGACAAGCGCTATTTGATTCTACTACAACATAACAGTCAAAAGGCCGATTCAAATGCAACTTGAACCATTGTTTTCGCATTAATTAAGGCTTTAAAATGATATTAATTGTAATGTCTGGATTGTTGTTTTTGTAAAGTTATTTAAATGTATTGTATGTGTGTGTGTGTGTGTGTGTGTGTGTAAGGCAATTAAATAGTTTAAGGCTAAGGTAAAAGCTAAATCTGATTGGCTAATTTTTTAAACCTTTTGAGAAAGTGGCCCGTATAGCTACGTTTATAGCCTTTTTAATATCTTTACCAATATTAGGTCAAATAGTATGCAACCTGGACCATAATTTTTGTTATTTATTAATCGAAATACTAATAGTTTTTAAAAAAGATTTGGATAAATATTCGTAAAGTTATTATACTATTAGGTTTAAAAAGGGTATGTATTACCTTGTAAATTGTGTATACAGGGCAAATAATCGAGCCTACACTGTACCCCTAACGTTATTATTACCCTATTAGACATAGTGCCACCAATTTTCTTGATTTTGGCACAGTTGCACTAATGGTCCACCATAATAGCCGCCGAGCGGGTAACCACATGCCATCAACACTAATAAAGCTCAAGAGATATCCTGGATGTCTCAAATTCTCAATATACCTTAGGTACCTAGGTACCCATGCTTCCGGGTAACGTAACGCATGATTGACACCGACGCCACTGGAGGCTGAACCGGCGCCTCCGTTTTCATGAGAGTTGCCTAATTCGGATACGTATTTACAGATCGAGGCAATCAAGCGAGTCCCAGAGGCTGCGAAACAAGCCATGATTCAAGCCTTATTCCCTGGTTGATAGCTTACCTTTCCGTCGTAGTGCGTCTGAGCGCATAGATCTGTATATTAGAGCCTCGTTCCCTCGCTCGGCGAGCTGCAGCTTCATGCATTACCTAGGTATGCAACACTACTGCAAACTAAAGGAGCCTCCAGTTAATAAGGGCCAACGGAAATATGCATGTCATCAAGCATCGGAGTTAAAAAAGAATTTGGTATGTGTTGCTTTTCCCCTTGCTCCCCAAAGAATAATTAGAGAAGCTAGAAAGCAATCGTCTATGCATGTAGGATTTCCGTATAGCTTAATCCATAGTTACCTCCCTTACTGAGATAGATAATCGATCAATTTTAAGCATACATTCGCAGCAGCACCTAATCATAAGAGCTAGGCACATGGACACATTGGCGGATAGCTGGGAATAGGTTTAATGCGCTCAAATGTGCCGCGATCTTTACCACAACCACTTAGGGCTTTGTTAATAAATTAAACATCTGAGAAAGGTAACAACACCCCGATAAAAAGTTGGTTAAAGCGATTAAGAAGATTTGGGTGATTATAGGGTCGTATCCTAAGTATCTAGAAGTAAACTATTATAAACTATTACTTTGCTAAAGCACGACAGTGTAGAAGTCACGAAAGTATTAGCCCGATAATCTAAACTTACCCCCCGTTTTCCCAAAGCCGGCGGCCTATTCTAATTCGCCTCCTTTTTCCTTCACGTTCACAGTGCTCCTTACACTCGCACCCATACCCGTGGCAGCCTATTAGTCTCACACTTGCTTTGATAGCCACTAAGAAGAACCCTAAGTTAGTAAACAGTGTATATAGGTACATTTATAGTCATTTGAGATGTGGTGCGCTGGAAAATGAGTCTAATCTGCTGGATTGCAGCTTTGAGAACAATATGAATGATCTAACTTAGGTTAAGGCAGTCGTATGAATTTATCAGAATTAGACATCTAAAAGATCGTCTGAGCAGCTCCGTGCCGGCAACTTAATATGCTTGGGATTCATAGTGAAGCGTTACACTACGCGGCACAGAAATGAAACGTGATATCGGAAAGAAATTTCCAGTTTATACCTATCTATCATTGTGATGCGCCGTGGCATTTTTAACCAGGAAAAAATATCATATTGAATGTTAATAGGTAAACTGAAGACTCAGACTGTCACAATGTGTTATAATCCCCCACCTCCCTATCTACTATTATGAAGATAATAAAAGCCACACGAGAAACATGAGGCTATCCCTTAGTGCTGGATTAAGGGCACTGGTCGGCATTAACAATGATATTGTAATCATCTCCATCAAATGCTTGACCTTGAATCAAGTTATCGTTCCCCGAAATCGAGCAGTCTAGCTCGCCCAGGATATCATCAATATGGTCTGCAAGGGTAATACTATTTTGCTGGATCCACCATAGATTATCATTACAGAACCAGACTGCCGCGTTCTCTATACATGAGAATTTGGTGCAACGTTGGGCATCAACGGATAATCCTGTAGCGAGTGAGTTCAGCCAGTCGCGATTTTTCTCTATAGCAACCCTCGAAGCGGGTGGTAGATTCTGCACATGGCATAAAACCTTCTCCTGTTATCTATAATGTCAGATAAACTTAATCCGATGGTTAATTAACGTAAAATCGCGTATTTAAATTTAGCTCACCGTTCTACGCTTCCTTAATGGTTTATCTTGACGTCGTGTCATGGACTGGAAGTGTTCCCACGAGAAGTCGGGATTAAGATTGCGGATTTGTATATCGATTTCCTAGGTCTCTCGGTTAGGAATATGTCATAGATTCAAGAACCGCTACTTTCCCAAGCTAGATAATATTTACTCACTTGAATAGTACCGTTGAAGGTCTTCTTAATACCATCCGAATCCACCACCCCTTCTATGACTAGCGGTGCCACTGTCAAGCCGTTGAACGTTTCGGCTCCAGGTAGATTTGCGTCATAACCCCGGCTTCCGCTCTAGAAAATGTTAGGAATATCCTTTTTTGGATTTGGTATAACTAGTATTTATTTAGTTTCTTACCATGAGATTAGCCCGAAGGCCTGTCGCCACCAGGCTAAAACAACTCAATAAGTATGGTTTCATAGTTAAGCCCTCGTTATCGTCGACTTGTGGTAGCGATGTTGAAAAAGCACAGCAGCAAAGATGTCGATAGGTAATGCAAAGGAGGGGAAGATACTGAATTTATTAGAGACAGTTTGGGGGCCATGGCAATCATGCAGCTGCGTGTAACCTATTCCGTACACGAATATTTGTTTGTGAATCATAATCCGTGACTTAGGTTGGTGTTGGTCGTAATGTATACGACTCCCTCCCATTTCTACCTGTCCTGTAACTAGGCCAATCTAATTTTAGGTACCTAGGTAAGTTACTAGGTAATTAGATAATTTATAAGATCTTGTTACATTCACTGATATATTTCGGCACTTCCCCTTATTCTCATTTTAGTGGACGTTCTTTATTCACATTTTCAGCCAGTCACACGGGTTATGGCATAAGATTAAATATTAAACAAATTGCCTTGACTAGTATTTATTTTTACCACTGAGATTTCATATAATAGATTAGGTACTCTCGAGACTTTAATGAGCAGGCGATGTAAATAGCGGATAGTGTACTTGGATACAGGATTGTCACCAGTTGACATTATGCTGACACTTTACAATATTGTTTAGTCTATGGAACAACGATCTCAAATGTTCTTTAGTGCTTAGGTACATTTAAATACGTCGCCTAGTCGTGATAATAATAGTGCGAATATGCAATGGAAAATCGACTTTGTTGAGCTACAATCTCGGAGGAATTGATAAGTTTCTATTGCCATAGCTAAACTGCTAAACGGTTAAATGTCGAACATAACCATAAAAACTAAAACAGGAAGCCGGGTATCTATTTGACAATAAGTGTTAAACTTGAATACACAGTTAAGATAAAAAGTGCTTAATAAATTATGGTGAGTGACTGTCTCTTAAGACTGCAGCGATATTGATTCAATATTTCGAACCAGAATAGACAGTCGCATCAGAAATTGTACTTCGTAGTGGGTCTTACTTTCCTACATGTACCTGGCCTAATGCTCCAAAGTACCGGAATTTGCCGACTGACTCACCTAACCCACCAAAACTTTAATAAGTCCCAGGTACCTACATTTGTTTACTACCATAGCGGCAAAGGGTGGTTTTAAAAAACGGTTCCTTAATGGAGTACCGTATTTCTTATATATATTATTTATTAAAGAGGTAACGTTATTTTTTAAGTAATTATTGCCTGGGCGATTATCGTTTTTTTTTTAAAAATTGTTTTTTTTTTAAAAATCGTTTTTTTTTTAAAAATTATTTTTTTTTTAAAAATTATTTTTTATTAAAAATTATTGTTATAATAAAAATTAAATTTATTAAAAAAATTATTTTAATTATATAAATTATTATTAAAATATTGTAAATTTTTAATTTATTTTTATTAATATTATAATTAATAAATTTTTTATTTTATATAAATTATATTTAAATTATTAATTAAGATTAAATATGGTTTAATTGGTTTAATAATTATAATTTTAATAATAAATGGTTTATTGGTTAATTTTTATAAAATATTTAAATTAACAAATTTATTATAAATATTAATATAATATAAAGGTATAATAATTGTAAAAATGTATTATTTAATATAAATATTAAATAAAAAAATATAATTAATATAAATAAAATTATTTAAATTATAATATTAAATATAATTATTTTTGTTAAAGATAAATTATTTTTTAATATTATTATATTTAATAAAAGAATTAGTTTTATTTATAAATATATAAATATTATTTATTATTAATTAAAAGTAAATTTATATGTTTATTATATTTAAATATTATAATTTTATATATAAAGGTAATTATTATTATAGTTATAATTTTAATAATATATTAATTGGAGGTTAAATTTAAATGTAAAAAATAAATTATTATATTTGGTAAGTAAAAGATTTTTACCGAAAATGGAATATTTAATATATTAAATATTTTTTAATAAAATAAAATTAATAATAATTAAATTAATATATATATTATTAATAAATGTAAATATTTTTAATTTTGTATTTTTTTTATTTATAATATTAACTAAATTATTTTAATTAAAATGAAATAAAATATATTTTAATAAATTTAAATATTTTTAATATAATTTTTATAATTTAATTATAAAATCTAAATCTTATTTATTAAATGTATTTTAAATAATAAATTAAATAATAAATTAAATATTAAATTTTATTAATATTATATATTTAATATTAAAATAATTAATTTGATATATATTAATTTTAAAATACTTAAATAAAATTATATATATATTAAATTTATTAAATTAAATAAATATATTAATATATTAATATAAATTTTTTTTAATTAATATATTAATATTAATAATTAAATTATATTCTTTTATAAAATTTATATAATGTATAATAATATGAATATTTGGTTATAATATATTATTTAAATATTAAATAAATTATTTAATTATATCTTTATTAATATATTTAATAAATGTTTTATTTAATATAATATTTTAGATTAATATAACCAAATTAATATAAAATTTTAATAAATTAATAATATAAATATTTAATTAATTAAAGAAAATTTTTACTCTTTTAATTAAAATCTTTATATTATTATAATTAGTTATTAAAGTTTTAGATCTTATAAAAATAATATTATTTTTTATAATAATTATATATATTTTTATAATAAAATAAATTAAATTATTATTGTTATATACATTTATCTTTTTTATAAATGTAGGTTTAATATATGTAAACTTAAACCAATTACGAAAGAATATAAGAATAATAATAAATTATATAATATAAACGGATATATTATAACTTTATAAATAATATTTTAATAATTGTAACTAATACATACCAAAAGAAAATGGTTAATTTTATAATATAAAAGTATAAGCTATTACTATTAAAGATATTAAAATACTATTGTATAAAAAGGTATATATTAAATAAAATAATTTATTATATTCCAAATATGTAAAATTATATAGTTATAAAAAGATTAGATTTAAAACTAAAATTATAAACTATAATGGTAATAAAAGATTTAATATATTTCATTATATGTTATATATTTCTTTTTTAATATTATTAATATATATATTTATTATATATTATATTTATATAATTTAATAATAATATTAACCATAATTAATAATATTAAAATTTAAATATAATTAAAATGCCTTTTTCACAAACATAATATAATAATAATAATAAAATTTTTTGATATAAAGATTTTTAAATCTATTATTTTTAATTTATTATAATATATTATTAATAAAGTAAAAAATAAAGGTATAAATTAAAATTTTTCTATTATTAATTATTATTTCTATACCTTTATTAAATGTTTTAAAAATACTAAAAACCTTAATTATTTCGTTAAAATTGGACTTATAAGGATTAAAAATTAAAGGAAAAATATTATTAAATTAAAATTAATTTATTATAGAAAAACCAATTAATATAATATAATTTCTTATTAATAATTTATATAAATTAAAAAATATATTAAACTTATTAATAAAATTAAAATATAATAAAGATTTTATAAATCTTATAAATAGAAATTTTTAATTTTATTTAAATTTAAATATTTTTTTACTATATATATTAATTTTAAACTTACCGCAGATAAAATATATATAATAAAAAGGTATAATTATATTTATATTTATTATAATAAATTTATTATTAATTATTTTATTTAAAATAATTATATAATAAATATAATAATATTAATATTTTCAATTTTAAGTTAAAAATTTAGTTTTATTATATTTTAATTATTAAATATTTTTTTTAAATTAAAAAGGTAATAAATTTTCTTAAATTTTACCAAATTTATAATTATAATAAATATCTACTAAATAATAAATATTTATTTTAAAAATATATATTATATTTAATATAAATATAAATTTATTTTTTTCCTATTAAAATTTTATATATATATGGATTTTATTAATTTATTTATTATTATTATTAAATAATAAACACTTTTAAATTTATAAAGCAAATATATTTTTATTATATTTTATATAAAATTTAATATATATATCTTATTTAAAATTATAAATATAATTAATATAAAAGTTTAAAATATTATTTATATTATTTATAATTTTATAATAAAAATAAATAAAGATAATATAATAATAATAAATTTAATTATTAAGAAAAATAATTATATTATTATTAAAATAAATATTTTTTAAATAAAAATATTAACCATTAAATATTTAAATTAATTTAAACTAATAATATATATGGTAAAATTTTGTAAAATAATTAATAAATATAATAAAATTATTATATATATTTTTATTAATATTAAATAATAAGAAAGTTTTAATAAATATAAAAAAGTTAAAAAATATAAATTTTATAATAATTAAAAATTTATTTCTTACTTTAATATTCATTTATTAAAATTTTTTTTACGTTTTAATTTTATATTAATTAATTTTAATAAATATTTTTTTTATATTTAATAAAATATTAACTTTATATATATTTAACAAAAGTAAATATTTGTGTAGTTATAATTTTAGCGTTATTAATTGGTTTGGAAGGTTTAATATATTATAAATTAAGTTATTAAAATTGTTTTAAAGAAGTTAAAAAATCTTATAAAAAGATAATTATTCTTTATAGTTAAAGTTAATAAATTTTATAAAAAAAGTAAATATTTTTTCAAATTATAAAATTTTAATCTTTTAATTTTGGTATATTTTTATTAATTAAAAAATATTATATAAACCGTTTTTATAATAATATTTATTTAAATATTAATTAATATAAAGATTTATAATTATATTTATACGTAAATAATTAATAATAAAAGTGGGAAATATATATAAATTAAATAATAATATAAAAAGGTTTTAAATTATTATTAAAAATTTAAGTATAACTTTTAAATTTATACCATTATTATTTTTTTCTTTTTTATTAAAAAATAATTTAATTTTTAAGGCGTTTTTATTATAAATAGTTTTTTTATATATAATAATATTAACAATATTAAATAAATTTAATATTAAATGTATAATATAATT